TGACTGCGTTTAATTATGCAAAGTATTCACGGCGACAAATTAATTACTCGGTTGTATTCGGTTGGCCTTCTCGCCTAGCCAGTGGGGTGGCGTAAATTGAGGCTAAAACAATGCGCACGGAAACATTGCGAGCATTGTGGCCAGCAACGTTATAAACGTTTGACAGCCTGGCCGATCCAGGTAATCCAGGCAATATTAATGGTTATGTTGCACTGGTTGAATAGCGGTAAGGTGACGGTTTGTTGAGATTGTTGATGTATTGTGCACACTGAATTCGGTGAAGTATTTTTTTTTTGCCATCGTCAGTTCCGTGCACCTCTTTGATATTCGTTTTCAGTCTTTAGTGGAGCAATTCTGTGCAGTTGCTTATGATCAAACGAAGTTCACGTGCCCATTACCGATGTATTTTTGCGACGTTGCTTTTGATTAGCGATGTTGAAGTCATGTGAAATCAGCAATAATTTTGATGAGTATTTGAAGAGCGTTCCGTAATCAATTGTGATTTTAGTTTTTCAAATATTGCTTCATTTTGATGTTCGCTTACAGTTAGTATGCAGTTTGGGTGTTGTTGCTAGAACAATTTTTGCATTGAGACATTTGATAATGTGCGATTGTGCGTTGACGGAATGAATGAGTAGAAAATTAGAAGATGATTTGAATTCAGTTTTTAGTGAAAGGATGAGTGATGAGCAGTCAGTGCGTCGTTCGGAACGACTGCGAGGTCGTGAGAGTCGTAGTGCAAGTGTTGAGGTGTTGGTGCAGAGAGATTCATCTGTGGAAGTGATCAGTTCAGTGGAGAGTTCGGCCGTAACTGAGGATCAAAATGCGGCCACAGTCACAAGTTCATCGTCATCTCAACGCCGCAAAACACCAACTCCAGTGTCGTCTGTAACTTCGTCCAGACGAATTTCTTCGTTAAGACGGCGAGCGTCGAACGAGAGTAGTGGTGAGAATACAAAAGATTCTGATGATCCAACGACACCGCAAACATCCAAAACACCATCCAGACAACGTTCATCCGGTATTTATTGTAATATCCGTTTTTAAATGCAAATTTTCGACTTACATTTGATGGTTATTGCAAAAGCGAAGAACAATAGTATTTAGATGGTGCATTGTTATTGTTCTCTTGTTTTTTGGATGCACCTTTAGAATGTTGCTTTGCCAGAACGTCTCGGTGATCAGTAGCAAAGATTTTGAAATCGTTTCCATCTTTAGTTTGACTTTGAGTTCGCAGATCCTCAAGCAAAATTTATTCTAATCAGAATGAAAGCTGAAATGAATCAAATGTTGCGAACAAATAGAAATGGTTCATTTAAAATCGTAATCATCACGACTCCACCTTGTTAGAATTTTCTCACTTGAATGAGTAGTATTCGACGGATTCAGTTGTGCGGTAACTATCAGGTCGATTAATGGAGTGAATGAGAGAAGTTGTTAGGTGATCAGCAGTTAAGTTGAGTACGAATTGTACATTTTGATGTAGATTGATTGTTTTCAGCAAGGAAGGAACGAGGGGTGAGTGTCGAGAGTAATTCGAGTGCTGACGGCAGCGTCAAGTCAGCTTCCTCTTCAACCACACCAAGACGAAGGAGACGTACTATTGGTGTTGTTAGTGAGCCACTTGTGGAGGTATCTTTCTTATCCATTTAATCAGTAACAATTAGTGTTTCTTTCAAATGAATCTAATGCCATTCAAACGATGTTCTCATGATATTTGACTTTTCCACAATAACAATGGTTGAGTGTATCATATGATATGCAGAGACAACGTCTCATTCTGGTGGTTCCAATGAATTGATGGTAATGCAACAGAAGTTTTTGGTTAAAATCGAATTGAAGGAATGTAACTTTCATTGTTTGAATAAATATACCAAACTAATCGATCGTTCTGTGCTAGGTTATCAACGAAGAAGATGAGAGTGCTGAAAGATCACAGGAGGATGCGGACATTATCGCGTACCATACTCGATCGCACGGTCCAAGTGAAGAAGTGGTAGAATTAGGTTAATTCTTCAAGTTATCGATTCTTTTTATCATTGAATCTTATCAAAGTATTCACTTATCTTCTCTGACCAAATTTTAGACAGTCGGATTGTTTTGTCAGCCTTTGGTAATATAGCGTAAGTTAACAACTGAAATGATATTCACAATCGAATTTTTGCAAATTTCGGCATTTATGCAAGAATAATTCAATGAAACATATTTATATAATAGAATGACAAGTGTTTGTTCACAGATGCAGTAATAAAAAGACGTAGTACTCATCATCAGTCACAAGATGGTCAGTCATCAGCAGGTGGTAGTGAACAGTCCGTAGAAGCTGAGGATGCTACAATGGGCTCATCGGTTTGTTCAAAGAAAAATATTTTCTTAAATTGATCATTCCCTATCGGAAACGGAGAAATTAAATATTTGGGAATTGTTGTGTCCAGAATTGTTTCAAATATGGAATGTGTGCGCTGTTTGGGAAGAAAGCATTGATTAAGTTGATAAGCAATTATCCACTCGTTTCCTTTTTATCAGATGAAGCCATTGATGGCAGGTGTTTCGTCTTTTTATAAGGCACGAGTACATGACAGTTCTGTAATTGAAGCACTCTGAACGAAGAGAGGAGAGTTGTTGGGAACTCTGATTTCAGTTGGACTTCTCGAATGAGAACTAAGAAGAAAAGGGAATGGAATGAATTGGACTGTATGCAACATTTTCAGGTTGAACATGGATTTGCGCTTACACTGGAAACATTATCGCAAGAAGAAATCGCCAAGTATATCGCCAGCTCGTCATCTTCGTTACAATCGGATATGGATACGGTGAGCGATTTGCAGTTGTGCACCTTTGCGAATGCCTTTCAAATCGTCGTCTATTCAACGTATTCTGTGTCGACTGAATTTTATTTCACTGATTTTAAGTGTCTAAAAGTTGAAGTAATAGCGTGCAATAATTATGCGAATAGAAATGTGTTGTATGATCAGAATTGTGTTCTTATTTGAAAACGAATTAATCAATTTTCAGAAGTTAGCAAGCGATAATGCAGAAGATTCTTCACAGAATGCAAGTACGAAGTCAGATGCTGCCGATAAAGATTCAGATGCTGAAGGGTCGAGGAAACAACAGAGTGATACGACTGTTTCATCAGCGATTATCATATCACAAACGGAGTCGAATCATAGTTTGGAATCGTTATCAGTGCCACATCTGGAATCGCACAAGCCATCAGACGTGGTTCCGACTGAAATTGATGACGACAGCAGAGGGAAAGGAGGTAAAGTGAATGTTGACGAGGCTAATGATGAGCAGTTTACGAAGGGTGTTGAGAATGACGAACAACAATCTGAATTGCGAATGCAGTCGATAAGTGCTGTAATCAACGAGTTAGTAACGGTGCGGTGTGAAGAAAATGTGATTGATGAACGCATCGATCGACACGCGAGTGAAGAATCACTTCAAATGAGTACTGAGGATTCATCGGTACCAATTATAGGAGAGGATTCAGGAGGTGCATTGAAATCATCGGCGAAAACTGATAACAGCGCAGATAACGTTGACGGTGATGCGAGAAAAGATACGCAACTGAGTTTAAATGAAGAAGAACATCGGTGCGAAGAACAGAAATCTTCATTGCTTGCCGAAGAAACTGACCGTTCACATGCTGATAAGGACGTCGAATTTGTGATGAAGGAAGCGAATGAAGCAAGCGATAAGATGTCATCATCAGAAATCGTCACTGAAACTGTTGAAGAACAAAGTGTTCTGAAGGAACGAACACCCGAACATGATCAAATGAACGATTCAGGGCAACAAATGGAATTGGCAGGCGAAGAGAAGAAACGAGAAATCGAAAGTGAGAAGTCAAAAAATGAGTGCGAGTCGAAGAATGTCTCAGAGAATGCCAGTGGAAATGTTGATGAAGAAGTGGAATCAGATGCGACTGACAAAGAGAGTGAGTGTTGGCCGTCAATCTCAGACGCATCATCCATTTGGCATAAGTGAGTTTTCATAAATTGATGTTGTGATTATACTTTAAGGGAATTGCTGAAATTCTTCCTGCGTTAGGTTTCAATTTTTGAATGATTTCTTGTTTTGTTCGTTTGTTTCTGTTGTTCAACTCGTTTCATTTGGCCTGCTTGTCTAAGATTATATGGTTTTAATCATAGTGAAATAATTCATTGCATCAGTTCACTGTTCAGAAATTGTCT